TTTGTATATACAAATGTACAAAGAATAATACCCATTTAATTCCGAATAATGGAAACAAAACAACAATTTAATATTGTATTTTAAACTATTTTCACGAAACAATTATAAAATAAATCTTATTACCCTATTACGACTGTACCATCGGGAGCGCGGTATTTTTGCCTGACCATGTTGCACGAAAACGAAACAAGTCCTGAACATGACAATTGTGAAATTGAATAACTATACAGTTTATGCGAAATTCGTTGAATTACAAAAGAGACACTTTCACAGATTTTTGTACATATATTGATGCAACAATGATTTCAGAGTAACGTCACTTAAATTATCAATTTTGTGACCTCATCATCTGTTGATATAGCAAGCAAAACCGTGCTAAGTTGTATGACCAAATTGGATATAGTTATCATATTACAGTGGAAGCAAACATTGCAAATTCTAGAAAAAAATTCACCGTTTAATTTTCCCTTACATGACCTTATAAGGGAAATGTCAGATGACAAAATGTTTCCTCTAGTTTCTGTCTGCGGATACGACGATGGATATGCATATCAACGAATAACTAAATATGTTACTCACCATTAGAGCATACAGGACAGCATACATCAGGTTTGTGAACAGCATCCACGCAGGGGCTAAAAAAGCAATCGGCGATGGCGCAGCTTATTAGCCCGAAATGACCTTGGCAGTCTTCACAGGCTGAGTGTCGAAATGGTTCCATCCCATTATGCATACATCCGTAAGGACGACATTCAGCCACACTCCCTCTAAGAGTACAGCGACAAATTATGCTACTAACAACATGGTCTTTTCCACAAGAAATATTTCCAACAAGGCAGTTAGGTCCTAAAGAAAGGAAAGGAAACAATTTGTTTCATTGAGATAGCATGAAGAAGATATCTAGAAACCGTAATTCGAAACAAATCGATAGAACTAGGGCGATGTATGCACAGATGAAAGATTTGGACGGAACTCCTTTAAACTGTAAAAAGGATAGGAAGACCAGATGTTCATGAAGGATAAGCGTATTCTGCTTGAACTTTGAGTACCGTCATTGAAATCTAGGCCATAAGTTTTGTTATAGGTATACATTTGTATACATGAGCTTCCTAATCTAAAAATAACAATATATTGTTTATCGGGAATGCTGTGACAAATAGGGTGTTGTCAAATCCTTGACGAATATATTTTGTATTTCAACACATGGGATAAAATACTTTATGTAGCATACAGCGTATTCATTCTTTTTCAATATTTCCGGACCTGATATTTGGTTTGCACTTCACCTGTTCGTGCATGACTCTCCCGAGGCTTATCTCATTTATTCTTTTTATTCTATAACAAGCAATCGCCGAATATTGTACGTGCGTACCTCTGTGGTTGGGTGAGTTACTAACACTGGAGTCTAATCGTGTGCCCTACTTTATACAGAGTGGTCGTATGTTGTTCATTTTTATTTCAAAGTATGTCAGATGAACCGGAATATTTACTTCTAGCAATTACTTACCTTATTTCTTTTATAATGACATTCTAGACAACTGAAGATGCAGCTGATATAATTCTAAAAATACACGTCTTGATGCTACATAGTTAAAATCTTATAACATATATAACACTTAAATGGACCTAGCTGAGAATGATTTACACATTTTATGTTTTGGCGTTAATTTACTGTTAGGTCGCGAAATTTCACAGGTATAGAGGTTAACAAATTTGTATTAGGATTTTTTCCTTGAAATTTTAGTTTTCCAGTGAACAGCAGTGAGAAAATAGAAATATATTCATAGAGATACCGACTAAATCATACAATGGTCATTGGACGATGACTTCAGTCTAGTCGACAACAGCAAAGCTGCCTGAGAATACGACACTATCAGCAAATGTCTACATGAAAGACACAAATACGGTCTGAATCGCTTACAGTACATACTGTATCTTTATTGCGAATTTGATACAGAAAGTTTTGAACGCCTTTTGTATACTTTTATACAACACATGCCATTTATCAGCGTTACATTTCGGAATACGTGGTCAAAGCTATTGTGTTTTTTACAAGTATTTATTGTTTCCATCGTATTATATTATTATCTATAGTCTGTGACTGACATCATTTTCTTTTCTTTTATGATACCATAATAGATAAAATTACATGAGTATTTAAAAGGATCGAACCGATTATTTTCATAAAGTATTAAGCCTTTTAGTGATTCATACTAAATACAGATGTAACCCATTCCGTTCATCCTTAAATAAGTATCAAAAATCACCGTTCAATGCGTATATTGACTTTCTAAATGTATAGTTTTTATTTATCAAACATAAATGTTCCCTTGTGTTTGCGTTAGGTAATTAAGTATGTCGTCAGTTAAAGTGGTATTTCTGGAACGAAATCTAAATGTTTGCATCTTACGATGGTCTCACTTTATGCGAGGCGGAAAGGGAAGCTTCAAAACGACACTGCATTTTGTCTGGCATTGTTAAGGTTATGGCTTAATGTCGACCCGCGGCGCGTGGTAACCTTGGGGACGTGTCATATATCCTCGTCTTGCGCGATACCAAATTCCGTGGGTTGACATTTAGCATTTACGCAGTGTGTTCATGTACATTATGTAGGTCTTTGTAGTAGAAATGTAAATATACGTAAGAAATAAAAATTGGAAATTGGATTAATTAATGAATAAAACGATAATTATAAAGAACCATAAAACATGTATAGGTACTGCAATCGTTACTATACATCTTCAACAAATCGTTAACAAAGCGAAAACATAATAAGTTTGATTACCAGGTAAAAACATCTTCAGAGAGGTTCTTCTCTTTCTTTAACGGCAAGTAATATGTATGAATATTAAAACACTTTGGACATTTGGTATAATTTATAATTACCATGTAGTAATATATCCGTTTTGTAAATATTCAATATCAGAAAATGGATTATTGTGTATGACGTCACCTAGTAATATACTTCCATAGACTTGTTTCTCAATTGAAACACACATGTCAAGTTGAAAGTCCTTTATCAAAACACATAGGAAACACGTACTTATTTAGGAAGTTTAGTCATTCGGAATGGTTATTTAAACATGAACATGAATCATATCATTATAATGATGTATAAGGTCGGGTTGTTTTTATGTGTTCGCTTGGGCCAGTTAGGCCGTAATTTTACCAGATCATACGCCACCAATTAGGTAATAATTGACAATCACTAGATTTACAGTAGCTATCCAAATATCAATAACACTGATCTTTCGGAATTTGTGAAGAGTTTAAAACATATAGTTGAGGAACAGAACTGGGTTATGTTAATTGCACGTCAATTTCGTTCACTTTATTGCATTAGGGATCCCTGTACCACTGTCATGAACGGTAACTACGCATTGGAAAACGGTTTTGTTCTAACTATAGTTTTACAAATACTTTCTTAAAAGAAAAACATTACTTGCGGGATTTTGTTATGAAAATAATAAAGGTATTAAGATAAATAAAAGTTTTAAACAAAATCAAAAACAGTGTCCTTAATGTTATAAAATCACATGGGGATAGACTGACTGAGCTATCTAGTCAGCCCAAGTGCCATTTCTCAACTGTGCTACAGTGATATCCTAATCAAAATTATGGAGAAGCTGTTGTATATACAAAAAGCAGAATACAGTAGGTCAGAGATCTCTAAGTATCACACCCAAAGGGAAATATCAGTATTCTTAAAAAAATGAAAATGTCATTCAGATATTTTGAATGACATGAACATGCACTTTTCAAATTTTCTTTCGAGAAGAAAAGTGCTTTAGTGTCAACTCTCTATAAAAAACATCCCAAATGACAAAGTTTTTTGGTGAACCCGTTCAATTAAATTTATCTATGGGTACTGCTAAATGTTTCACTGAATGGTAACATGTTTATAATTTGTTCAAAAATGGAAAGTGAAAAATATTGGTTATGAATTATTTCGATTTCTGTGACCTGAGTAACCTCTAATGATTTAAAAGACGTGATTATCCCTTAACTCAATTTATCCTCTCAATTCAGATTTTAATTCTTAACTTCAATGGTATTTCGAAACCCACACGTAATTACTATGAAATGAATGTCCAACCTCAGATGTAATCTTTAAACTCAGATATATTCTCTAAACTCTGGCGTTATCTCTCAACCAACTCAGGTGTTATTCCATACTCAGATATAATCAGTAAATACAGATGTTATCCCTCAAGTAAGATATCATCTCAGAAGTAATTTCTTAACTTAGAAATATATAGAGAAGTTATTAATCCCTTTACTCGTTGTAATCTCCTAATTCGGGTTTCTCTTAACTTGGATGTTTATTTTAACTTAATGCTATCTCTCAACTAACTGGTACTTTCTAAACTAAGAAGAAATCTGTAGGCCCAGATGTTACCTCTATATATTCATGTTGTTTCTACACTTATAATAGCATCATTAATTAATTTGTGAAATGTATTTAATGATCGTGAATTATTAATTGATGTTATTTCCTTTGTAGTGTTAATTTGTGAAACCCTTAAACAGTGAACGACCGATCAATGATGTATAGTTCAGTTTGTTAATTGGTGGGTTTGTTAATTGGTGAGTTTGTTTGCTTTGAATACTCATTATGATTGTTTCTATTTTTTTAATACAAACCTCGTCAACCTGTCACGCTGTAGATTTTACAAGTAAAATAGTAATGACACGTTCAGTGACATCGGATTAGAAGGCCGGAAATTAATTGGTCCATGTTGGCACCTTGCGGTGACCTAGAAACCCCTTATGAATCTTACTAAAACCCTTGCTGGACGAGTAAGAGTTTAAACCATTCATAATTTCACACATATCATGTGACATGATTGTGTAGTTATTGTACATTTAAATGGAAACTATAATTATGAAACAGACTATAGCGACTCTGTAATGGTGCGCATTCATTTCCTTTAACCTGTTTACTCTGTTGTGATTGAGCCCCTTGTTAGACTACAATAGTCTGGTGTGTTTGCTCCAGGTGATATATTGGAAGCTTTGGACGAAAACTGTATTAGCCAGGATATAGAGACACACAATACTAGTTTGTTTGAATTAGGATTTTGTTGTACATTCAAATAACATATAGGAACTGCTACAGTGTTACATACATCAGTGATGAAGATATCTATGCCGAGAATATGGAAAATGAGACCAAGTATAAAATCAGTGTGTTTTGCTTGTTTTATTTGTCTGCTACTAGTCTTCTATATTACAACATCAATGCTAGGTAAGTATCATTTATCACATGACCCGGAGGTACATCATCATCATCAACATCATCATCATCATCTTTATCTTAATCATATAATTTACGGTTTTCGCAAAATCGTAGTTTTATTTTTTGGAGATGTTTCATCTAGGTTATGTGTACGTAGTTCAAGGAAAAACAAATAGTCCCGTGTACTACTATCGAAGGATTGTTTTAAGTAAGCTAAGGAATGTTGAGGCCAATGTGACTTCTATTGTGGCTACAATTGTGACTATTGTGACTACCATTGTGGCTACCATTGTGACCATTGTGACTGCCATTGTGACTACCATGAGACAATTGTGACTGCCATTGTGGCTACCATTGTGACCATTGTGACTGCCATTGTGACCATTGTGACTACCATTGTCACCATTGTGACTGCCATTGTGGCTACCATTGTGACAATTGTGACTGCCATTGTGGCTACCATTGTGACCATTGTGACTGCCATTGTGACTACCATTGTGACCATTGTGACTATTATTGTGACCATTGTGACTACTATTGTGACCATTTTGACCATTGTGACAACCATTGTGACCATTCAGACTACTATTGTGACCATTGTGACTAATATTGTAACCATTGTGACTATTGTGACTATCATTGTGACTACCATTGTGACTACCATTAAGACTAACATAGCTATGCACAGTTGGTATTTCTTTTAAATTCGGTTTGGTAACTGTTCCTTCACAAAAATATTCTATTATAGGATTTGGTGAAAATTGTGAGTTAGTCGTATTTATCAGCACAATTTGGTCACTTTGCATAATCGGGTAAATTGTTCTGTTTTTAGCATAAAATTCATTGATTGAGCAAACAAGTTTTCCCTTTTAAACTCCTTCAACTCTTCCCATTACTTTCCATGTTGGTTAGTTGTTTACATACTCATGGTACTGTTATCGTTTTTTAGTTATTAACATTGTACTAACAATCACTATTAAAACATACACTCACAATAATAGTCTTGTGTAAAGTATACATAAGGGGACTGCATAAAACACCTTCTGGTTGTTTTCTGTTAGACAATATTGTTTTGTTTACTTTTGTACTTTGATTACAATGTAAAGGTATAAGATATTTTTTGAAAACAAAGGCATGAGACGTCAATAGCATATCCCGATTCCGCAGACAATAGAAGACACGAGTTCAATAGAACGCCTATGGTAAATAAAGCGGTAAAAGTATCGACAATATCCTATCAACAAATGTCCTTTACAAGTGATTACCTTCTTGTTTTGGAATGTGCCTTTGAAAAGCCACAAACATGTCACAGTGTTTTTGCTTGATTTGTTCGTTTGTTAAATTTCAAGTTCGTGTTCAAACGCATAGATTGCTTTCAGTCAAAGGATCAACAAGGATACACGCTCCAACGCCTATTTGATGTAACGCAAAAATACAAATATGCATTATTTTTAAGGGCGGTATTTCAAAAGTTATTTTAAGTAATGAAACGCGAAATTTTCCATGCAACTTAAAGTCTTCAAGATTTAATTAACGAAAAAATGTTTAATTATAGATGTTACACAAATTTACTTAAACGGGATTCTGTATAGCTAAATATGTAAATGATTTGATAAAAATAACAGTAAAAATACTAAATGTTATCATATCATTTACAATAGCTTGTATATGAGTGAAAACTGTTTTTCCGTTCAGATAAAGTGTCCCATTACGGATCGACGAACGGGAAGTAAACAAGCAAATTACTTCCTTTTCCTGAGATAACTTGTGTATACAGTCGAACCTCGTTATCTTAAGTGAGTTCCTTTGTTTGGCGTAAAGCTATGTAAAGTGTTTGGTCCAATATGAGGCTATATATGTCATTGATTTTTCTGACAGTCGACGTATTAAAACAGTCGATAAATAACAAAAACATAACTATATATAAAAACAACAACAATTTATTCATAATCATATTCATTAACTAATTAATGTTCCAATAAACATACATGCTTTCTGCGACCTCGTGCTATGCTGATAGAAATTGAAAGGCGGAAATGATAGTGCGCAAGTCTTTACACAAATCACTGTATTGGAACGTACACATTGGATTGCTCAGTTGATTTCGACATTCCGCAATGGGTATGAGTTAATCAGGAAACATATCCACATGTATAGACCCCAATGACACTTGACATCTCCTCAACACGACGTACTCAACAATACTTATCGTAGTGTTCCTATAATCTCTAAATTAATTATCAGTGCCATACAAGCTCATGTAAAAGCATAAACCGACGAACCAGTCCTAGGTTGTTATTTTTACTGTGGAGCTTATTTACGCCTGACCGCACACTGTGACCAGTACTGATTGTTGTTATTCAACATTGATGAAGTTTGTTTATTTATTTGACAAAGTGTTTTTACAGTCAAACACATTATAATGCCATAAGTTTAAACGAAGTAATTATGACCGAGCGTAAGCTGCTCAATGAGAACGATGTTTACCGTAGCACTGCGTCTAGTATGTTTCAAATAATTAATGAATAAATTTCGAGGTAGGCGATATTTTAATGTAGGATTTACGTTGTTGGGACCAATGTTTCACTTTGAAATACTTCGAGTTAAACGGGGTCTTCGAGTTATACGAGTTCGATCGAGATAACGAGGTTCGACTGTACTTGTGCTGAGGTCACCGTAATATTTACATGAAAGTAAGATTATATGAAAAATAGGTTTCTTAAATGACTTAGAGACTGTTTCCCAACAAGCAATAACAGTGAGGAATACATTTATTTCAGCTTAATTCCGAACCACCAATATTATTTGTCACTTATAATATTTGATTTAGGGTCTAATCGTATTACAAATATTTAAACCCCAAAACAAAATTATCACGCAGTTTGAGATTTTTGTGTAAATATAAATAAAAGGTATTTTAAATTTAAGTAAAAGGAAAATAAACTTTCCAACAATATAATCAAACAAGCACAAAATCATAACCTTAATGCTGATTTTTAAAATTGAAAAAAAATAGTGACGTGTTTTTACAATCGCACTACAACTAAACATTACGTATAAGGGCATATTTTTTAAAGATGTTAATAATTTCAGATTATGTCCATAAGTTTATTTTTGAGAAAAACTGACCGATAGAAATAATTAATAAAAAGGTATCTCGGTTATTTATCTTGTAAGTGTTCGGATGTGGCATCGACCGGCCACTGTCTAGTTGATTTTGCCTAGATACGAAACGAGGCCTTTTTTTGCGCTAAAGACATAAGTGCATATCGTGTATTTTCGTGGAAAACAATTAGTGAACTACCATTTTTTCTATTATACATAAACACTTAGCAAGTGGATGCCATACCCAAAAACTGTCTTAGGTGATAGTATGTGTATTTTGACCAAATTACCTCTGAAAATCGACATCACGGTATGTTGAGATACCTGTACAAATATGTACATAGCTAGCAAGTCTTAAGTCGATGATAGAAATATTGCACCATAGATTAATCGATTATGCAACCATGATCATTAAGGACGAACAATTTATTTAATTGAAATTAAAACAAATGTATCCTACAATGTCAACAAACCGGCACAAAAAAGCATACAGTATCTCAAAACAGGAAATAAATTTCAGGATGTGCTTCATTGTAGATCTCATTAAAATGTAACCTTAATCTTAAAAAAATAATTGCAATCTATAAGTACTCTTTATGAATGTACTCTTCCGAGGTTTCAATCACGTTCAAGTCACTTGCTTTTCTGAGTTAAAAGAATACATTTAAGCAATTTTACTTCCATAATTTAAACGAACATATTGTTTTTGTCGATTCTATAAACATTCATACAAACCTGATAACTCACTTAGAAGATATTGTATTAATGTGTCTTGCAAATGGTCAGAACCGAAAATTCACTTATAATCACATACAAAATGTGCTATGTCAAATTGGTATATTTGACCGATTATAGCACAAAACCGAGCACACCGACATTTAAATCTTTTTGCCTTCCAAAAATGCATATAAGAAAAAGGTCTAGTACAGGGTTTTGTTTACTTCTCAGAGGTGTACATCCTTAAAAATCACACTGAACAATCATTACACTCTAAGATAGTTACAGGCTTATTACCTTCCCAGATACGACTGTATTGCATATGTTGGTTAGTAAGTGCTCAGAATATTGTGACTCAGATACTTGCAAACAGATTGATAAATTTATATCAAAATCAGTTATAAAGGTGAAATAGCACAGTTGTTTCGCCAAACGTTCAAAATGATTCCCGTCTTCCATGCACGTAATGTGTCGTCCTAGAAACAATCACATCTCTATCTTATCACCTACCTGTTTTATACTTTGTTTAGTAGCTATCTGTTTGAAATCGGTTGCAACGAGATAAGGCTATAGATAACGCATATTTTCACACTAAATTAAATGTTATACTTCGTTCAGGTAACGTTAGCTAGTGTCTATTCTTTAGCAGTTGACAACGTAGAAGTACATTGATGATACGTTGAATACCAATTCGAATCCAATACCATACTAATGAAGCCCATTCCTGACGAGCCGTGTTAGACATCAACTCGTTACGAGGTTAAATGTGGTCGAGCTTACATAGTGCATAAGGTAGCGTCTTTTATCGAGTGTCCATGTATCTCTGCAATCTGCATGAGACACTCCGTAATAACGTGGACACATCCGACCTAACATGCTGCTAGTGACACCATCACACTGGAGACCTGACTGTTGTCTATGTAACACACAATTTGTTTTCGATAACACAACATTAGAAGTGTCTCTGAACGTGAAGTAAATGAAAACCTAATGATTTGTTTTATAAACACAATCATTTACAGAGAAGCAAATGCCATTAAATATTAATGTTATCATTAAAACAGGCATTTCCAAAGTATGTGATTGGTGGAATTAAAAGTATTGCTTAAATCAAAATATTTACTCATTAGGAAGATTACATTTAGTTTCAAACAAGAGTTGATAACATATTTTTCTTTAATCTTTCACAACACATCCTGTTTTATTGAGGTGAAGTATTATTATACATCATAAATATATCGGCGTATTGAGTGCTTGTTTTTGCTCGGGTTATTACGTTCACACGGCAACTAAGATCAATTTAACAGCAAGATTTAGTTTTTATATTAAGATATGCAGTGGGGGAAAAGCACAACGTCACGGAAAATAAAAATGAGTAGATTTCAGCATACATAAAGTCTACTGCATACCACCTACCCCGTGTATCTGTCAAAACTGGTCAGCAATTAAACATACATACAGGTACACGCATTTATCGGTTCATTAAGGATATTTAAGTAAGTGTAAAACCTGCTTGTGCAGTAATTTAAGTTTGTTCATTTCGCAAATATAAAATACCCTATCGATTCTAGGTAACGTTTTATTATACGTCATAAATATAGGACCGTATTGAGTGTTTGTTTTTGTTCGGGGTCCACACAGCAGCTAGCTAAGGTCAATTAAAGACTGGGTATCTAGGGAGACACTGACGTAACGATAGAGTAAATAAAGAAAAATAAATAAATATAAAGGTACATGTTGAAATAGGGTCAGCAGATCAATTGTTGTTCTCCTATTTCCTCTAGGCAGCAGACATATTAGACAGCTCCGGCTCTAGAGGGCCGATAGCGTCATTTACCTTATAACACCATCTATGTGCAGTGGGATAGAGCACGTCATTTCTGTACCCGATTTGGAATGATTCGGTGTAATGACATTACTATAAAAAGGGCGTATTATCTTTTTGCGTTTGAGTTTCCCAAGCTATATTTCTCCCGTTCAAAAAGCAGTCATAATTTCCAACCTTTCGTTCTTAAACGGGGTTATCTCTCACCTCTTATTTCCAGTTATATTTTCTTTGTCCTTTACTGTAGTGTTAATATGAAATTTTCGGGTGGCGCAATGGATAGCGCACCTGCCTTTCATCAAAGCGGCCGAACCAACACGATTAATATAAGTTTTAAAAAAATTGCAACTGTTGTAACATAAATAAAGTTTATATTTAAATACTTGTTCATATAACACAGCAAACGAAATTGTAATGGGTGACATTTCTGTGATTAGTGCGTACTCTGTCACCTTCATCAATTAAGTCTGTCTAAGACAGAGTACAATCGTACTAGTTATCGAAACGTCTAACGTTAACCTTTCACTAGTTGTGCTTTAGAAACCTATAAACAATCTATACTTACCGACGTGGGAGACATGTTTAGAAAGATTTACTTTTGTGTTCTGATTGCCTTGTTTTGGGAGGCATGCTTATTTGTTCATCTTTTGCGTGCCGTCTTCCCCACTGGCTTTATGTATGATAAAATCAATCCTAAAAGAAAATAGTAAAGCTGAACTAAAGGTTTAAATGCATCAGCATCTTAAAGTAACTGAGTTGACAGTGTTTAAATCCGGCCCATACTTCTCTAGAACAATATTGATAGAGACTCGAATTTAAAAAGAAATGGCGATGAGCAAATTGTCGAAATTATTCATCAAAGAGAAACAACGTAACGTTTCCAATCCGAAACGCCGTGGGATCCTACAAACTGGTTGGATTGAACAGAGTGTCAGAGTATACAAGTTTGATGAACACAAAAAAATGCGATAAGAAATGTCGTAACTGTTGGGTGTCAGTGTTGACCGAATGTCAGAATATTCAGGGGTTAGGCCAGACACATTTCATTGCGTATTCCTATTCATGTGCAGGTACCTGTGATATGTATGTAACTTATTGCATCCACATCAGTGCTGATGTAAACAGCCACTCTATTCAAATTATTTCCTATCTTTTAACAAGTACCTGTACTAAATAATTATCATTTTATTTGCAGACTGTCCAAGTATGGCTTTAAGACAAATGTTCAAAAAGAGGGATGACCTAGAAAATAGCTATTTATATAACCAACAAACATTAATCGGCAGACAGAAAGAGAGAATTATTGACGATAATGATAAAGTAGTATTAATGTTAGAATCAAGAAAGATGTCTAGTACAACAAAGAATAGTGCAGCCAGAAAACTGTTACGGGACGATGTAAGCCGGAAACAGACAACAATAGCGCCTGAAGCAGGTTAGTAGCCACATATGCGTAAAGATTAAACAAACAGGTGTTTCTAACTGAAAATAGTTCCCCTTTTTAGTTCCCACCTGCCGTTACTTGCTTTACAAATGATCATAATGTTCTTATTAAGCAATTCCAAGAAATGCTTTATACCAAATTCGGTTAATATCCGTTCTATCGTTCGTCTGGGGTTATCTGTTAAGTTAAAGTTGACAGACAATTAACTGTTGCTTTTGAAATAACAGCACATTATGTTTAGGTTTATATTTTTTTCCCATATCTTTTTACGCTATGATCTAGATGCCAGATGTTCAATCATGTTTATTTCTAATTATTATACAATGTATCATGCTGTGTAACTCGGGCCTTTATTGTTGAATCAAGCAATAATAATTACATACATTGTATCATTTTACATGTGTACTATTATTTCATCTGCAGGACCAATACCTATCCTGTTGGTAACATACATGCGCAGTGGATCATCTTTCGTAGGGGATCTGCTCAAGGCTTACCCCAAGACATTCTACGCATTTGAGCCCCTGCATATATTACAGGTCGACGTGAGGAAACAAAGACCTATACGATACTTCGACGGGACGATGAGGTACCTGATTTAAAAAATCATTTATTTGAATATAATCAATTCATGCATTCGTGTGTGCTTTTCAAATATTACATCAAAATTCGAATTGGGGCCAAATACCGCTCATGTAATTTGGTAGGAATAATACATACTAAGCTTTCGAGAACGCCAGTTTCCGTTGCCAAGCAAATAGTGCTCTTTGCTTGCCAAATGAAACAGACTTTTCGAAAGCTCGCAATAAGTTTTCAGTTACTGTTTATTCAAAAATAAACCTAACATTTAGTTACTCTGGAAGTTTCGGCAACAGTTGCATTTCATAATTAGGTACCATGCATCTTTAATTGTATTTTGTATTAATCTATAATCTATCACGTCTTTATCATTTCAGAAGTAGGAACAATTTCCTAGAACTATCAGTTGATACGATAAGAGACCTGTCCATGTGTAGGATGGAACAACTACCACTGTCATTTTACAGTGATGGATTCTTTACTGCCTGCACGGATTCCTCGAAATTCCACATATGCATGAACGGAAGTAAAATAGAAAATGATCTAGAAAGTGGAAGGAAATGTTCACGTATTCTTTCGAAAGCATGTCAGAGATCGGAATATTTTGTTACAAAAATAATACGTATGCCTCTTTATGCTTTGGAACCTCTCCTTGAGAAAATTCCAAGATTAAGAATTATTCATCTACTAAGAGATACAAGAGCGACAGTCTCCTCACAAGTCAACGCTGTTCGATATGCTATGGGCAACCTCCAGCCTTCAGTTTTGAAATTTTGCAACCGTGTGTATGATGATATCGTGACCAGGGAGGCTCTGGAAAGGAGATATCCAGGTCGACTGATGACAATTGAATATGAGGATATAATTAAAGAGCCTATTGATTCCACGAAAAAACTTTACCAATTTTCTGGTATGAACTTAACCCGACAAGTACAGAAGAATATTCTACGATTGTTTTCTAAAACCAGAAAAGGTGTCAACTTCACTGTGATATCTTCAATATGGCGGACAAATCCTAAAATGTCCGTAATTAAAACAGTGGATAATAATTGTCAACAGCTGTACACAAGATATGGTTTTAGAGTTTTGAATGAACAAGATTTAAAAAACGTTTCAGTATCTTTGAAACTGAAATCAGCACCAGCTTTTGATGATTTTAGAAATGAATAATATTAAAACGGAAGTCTATTTGAATATTTTCTTCAGATGTTATATTGCGTATTCCTCATAGATGTCATGATAATTTTCAACTCAAATATGAATATTGAGCTTAGAAAATATGTCGTGCGGAAGGAAAAAATCTATCGAACTGTAGGTTAACTAAATCAACATCATAACTCCAAACATTAACAATAAGAATAACCACGATTATACTCTATTAATCAAATTACAACTATTCAAACTAGCGTCAGTGTGATTTCTGCTAAATTGATATGCCCTACCCCCAACCCCCATCCCTACAAACCCACAACCGAGTCAACTAGAGTGATTGATATAAATTGGAAAACAAATTGTTTCATAATTGATGTAAAGTAAACTTAAAATAAAATAGCAGCTTTATTTTTGTTATTTGCTTTAAAGAGTTATTTCTTTGGACAGAGTTGTTGACTTTACGTCTTCTCAGACGAGCAGGTATGGATCAGTCATATATCTGTATTAGAATCATGCCGTGTATCAAATACAGACTCTAATGCAAATTTTATTTCTTCATTCTCGATCCCTAGATAGCATAACAAACAAAAGTGGGTTGCAATGTATACAATTTTCTAATAAACATAATAGCCAGCATAATAATCACAACTAAAGATAAATATAGTATTGGTGGTAGATAGTGTACATTGTTAGATTTTATTGTTTTGTCGATAGTATATGTTGTTAAATTCATTTAAATGTTAAAATGTTACAAACAGCACTTTTCAATAGAGCCTTACTTAGTATTCTTATATGGAACGGAGTTGATACCAAGGTTACTGACAAAGGGAAATATGGTACTTTTATGATTTTATTGCAAATGTGACGTTTCTCCTTAAAAAATATATTTCAAGTATTACTATTTACAAATCCTTTGTCCTACAGAAACAACAAAGTATTCATCTTTTGGATTTCACATTTTACTGTGATAAATAATGTATAAGCAGGCGTGTTAATTGTAGCTTACATATTATTCTTCATTTGACAAATAATGCTGTGCAGGAACGCTTACCTTTTGAGAGCGCATTGCTATTGATTCTGTTGTTGTGGGGTTCTTCTGGTTAGGTGCTACCTTGGTTCTTGTTGTTTTCCGTCCATATCAACCTAGAGTTCATATGCTGTCCTTTTGTATTAACGATGTGAGGCGCAGTTTGTCTCCATTTATCAAGGTTTATTTGCCACAATACACCGGCATAGGTGTACATCATATCTATTTCATTTTGTGGTACAATACACAATCGCAGGCTCTGATAGACTATGTATTAATTAACAAAACATGATATTAAAATGAAGCGACATTTCATCATAACTGATTACTACACCATAAGTTAAGTTCGTGTTTTATGAAAATGTTAATGTGAAGTATCAAAACCAATCATCTCAGCAAGCTTATCTTTTAATCCATAGTACTCCCTTTCAGTTCTGTTTTTTCCACTAAAATGTAATATCCGGATATTTTCTATTACACGTGTCATTTCACCTTGATTAATTTTCCTGTTTGAAGTCAGATACAGGTAGCTTGTATTGATATTGCTTCGCTGAAATGACACTCTCTCTCTTGTGTTACGGATAGGTCTTGTAGAATGACATGATTGCATTACTCTCGTTTGATAAAAGGTAAATGAAACAATTGTTAATCCCCTCAAGAAGTTAATTGTTTCGTTGTGTGTATCGTTTTGCCATAAATATAATATATTAAGATTAACATAAAATCTGACACCGAATTTAGGTCAACAGTGCATACAAGTTGTGTAGATGTAAACAAAGCCAATCTTCAGTGTATCACAAAACACATCATACGGCATATTTCTTTTTACAAAAGAGTTTGTGTTTATAACAATTATTCGTCAGTCAGTGTAATTGATGCTATATCAATGTATGTGAACAGCCAATGCTAACCCTCCTCTCACCACTGCTTCCTAACAGTGTCAACATGTCACAGTTAATTCGGTATTCAAGAGCTTACTCCAAATAGCATGACTCCCATGATAGATGTCGCCTGATGACGGACAACCACACAACACAGGGTTTCCAAAAGATGCATGTTGATTTAGACTATGAACAAGACTCATGATCAACTTCATGATATCATTGAAAATACACTATCTATTTGTGGGAATGAAGGTTGATTATTTTGAGTATCCTCATTATTGTGCTTTGTTGTCACTACTCGATTTCCCGCTATGATGACGTGACATTAGTTGGATTGGAACTAGACTTATATGGTGGGTGTCGTCGATGAAGCATAAAGCGCTTAACCTTCTGGAACATATGGTCTTATTCTCCTTAATTTGACAATGGTGTCAATATAAATCTTTCATTTGTTCAAATTTTGCACTAGTTTTATCGATTCTTAGTTAAGATTTTTGAAGGTCAATTCGATAGTTTCTTTTCTTGTCCAACGGATAAACGGCAGATAAATACCGATTTTTACTCCCAACTTTACGAGTAATAAGGTAAGTGTGGTTGCTTGTTGTTGTTGTTGTTGTTTTTCTTGTTGTTAGTATTCAAACATTTCATTTGAGTAACATTATTACAAACAATCTACATTTTTTCTACTACATAACTACTATTTTAATTACATATTGACATAAAACATTTATTATTTATATTTGGATACCATGTATACAGTTAAATCTCGTTATAATGTCGCCATTTGTCCAAGGAACGTTTAGGGGGTTTAATGGGCATGACAATAAATTAAGGGAAACGTAGAATTCTTAAATAACATAAAAAAGGACTTCGAAATACGTTGGCTATTATCGAGTTTATACGAGGGTCCTTATATCGAGGTTATACTGTACTTGGTATAGTGTCTGAAACTACATTGAATCAATAAAGTTTGGCACATTATATCTGTCCTTTAGTGTTCATCGCCTACTGTTGCTATTTGTAGCATTATTTTTGTATTCTGAGTATTCCTGTTGTTAGGCATATATATCCTACGTTACTTTTAACTCCGAAATGATACCAGTCACTACATTATTTAGAAACACTTACTTATGTGTGGTAGTGAGGACACATTCTGTGTCAATATTATGAGAAACAGAAATGCAAAACTATTCCCATTATCCTGAATGTTATAGACTGTTTCTTAGAGCCTCACCTATGGGAACATCTACAAACCAACAACAACATCACCAGTTGTAATACGTATTAAGAAATACTGCATACCGGCATGCATACATAAAATACATTCTAAGATTGTTATTCTTGATCTAACTATAAGTATTTCATTGCAAAACTAAAGTAAATGTATATTCAGTGCAAGCGTTTTTTAGAGCAGAATAATCTCAACCGAATATATGCTTCTTGCGATGGTCTAAATCCATGCTAGAAGCATAAAAATAAACGGTTTTAACTCCTAGTGTTTACATAAGGCTTGTAGCAGAAATCTTAATATATGTATTTGCAGTCAGCAATATTGTCATGAGGTCGTATTTGTGTGGTTAGTCTCCTAACTTTTATCGGAGCTTGTGGCTATGTTTTCACATACATGTCATAACGTACTTTATTTAATTCAAACATCCGAAGTGTAAGATACGGTAAGTCAGTTAAGACATGAATGTTGGTTGGTTTTTGTTTATTTCTTCAATGTTTTGTTTAGAAATGGCGAAATCATAATTTGAAAAGATAGTTGTTTCCGTTTCTTTTCTCGAAGTGAAGTTATTTGATTCATAACCAACAAGCGGTATCATATCATAAAATGGAATTCAATATAAGGCTGCTTTTGGAGAAGTCTTTATTTGTCTTTCCTTTTTGTTCCCTTTGCCACCATATCTGATATTGTTTCCTTTTAACTCCCGCTATCCTATTGTTCTACAAAACAAAAAAAATAAACTTTGATTATTCTTGAAAATATAAAAACGTTTAGAACTCATATGACAGTAGTACTATGGCAATACTGACGAAGATATTGATTTTAAGTAAGTCTTTGATATAACAAGAAGTCGAAGAAGCAGAATCCAGGTCGTTATTCTGCACAAGATTTGAACTTGTATCACAAAATCGGTTCAGAAACATGTGACCAATAGGAAGAAACGTTACAGTACAATCCCCGATCATACGACAAGGAAGTTGTGTGAGAGTGTCGAGGGCTTTCTGCTGGTCTTCATCTAGTGGTTGATAGAATACTACATCGACGTATATCTCAACACATTGTTTCTTGTTCTTTGTCAAACCAGGGATGCTAACAAAATCACTCATCCTGTAGAGTAGCTCTGAGGATAGAATATTTCTATAAAAAGTCTTATGATTGAAAACAGCTTTGTCAAGACCGCCAACAGTCAATAGCGGATAGACAAATCTGTAGTTAACTACACAAACGTTTGGTTGAAACAGTCTTCTACAGTACCCATCCACCTTCATATTTCCAAAACCACAATCTTTCCATTTTGGCATTCCAGTTTCCTGACAACGACATAGATGAAATAAATTATAAATGAACATGTTACATAATTTCTTAGTGTAAATTAATGATGAGAAGAAATCGATCTTTATTGAAATAGGAAATACATCGTATTTAAAAGTACTAAGCACTAGTTACGTAAACATTTTATCGACCTTTAAGGTTATAATGACAGTGTACAACCTACAGGAATGTTGAGAACACAACAGGAGAAAATACATGTACAAGCATGAAAATGAGACATATCAGATAAACGATAAAGACAGAAACAAATAGGGAAAAACATATACTCAAGAAAGGAAGGGAAGACAACAAAATTACGTTCATAATTTTGCAACAGTGCTGAGACAAGGGTGTTTACAAGCGGTTGAAGAATCAAAAGCTAAGGTCATAAGACGAAGATATCCACACAGGGTGGGAAATTCCAAAGAAAAAGTCATATGACGACGTTGTTAACGAATGACGGTGAAATCAACTTTTAAGATATGATGACAATGTCCTCAAATGAGGAAACGTTCAACAACTATTATGGAAATGGCGCTTTTATGTTCGAACTTTTACTGGTACCTTG